AGAGAATATCCATGATCTGTATTTCAATGACAAATTTGTCAAACGGTTATTCAGTGGTCTGGCAACAACATTCAAATTTGGTCTGATTTTGACGTCCACATTGCACGGAATGATTATTTGCATATCTTAATAACAATTTTTTCTCGTTTTAATTTCCCAAATGATTTAAGTGAAAACATCCAAAGGTGTCAACACTAACAAGTACAAAAAATATAGAAAATACTGTAAACACAATTATTCACTGGATTTTAAGTTTGTTAATTTGCTAATGAGTAGAAGTCGTTTAATTAAATGTAAATGTAATACATGTATCACATGTAAAATTTCATTTGTTTACACGGAAAATTTGTGAAATTATAAAATATCAAAACAGTGAAATTAAATGACAGTGAAAATAAATGGTTTCAAAGAACTGCAAATCAGGGAAGCAGAAACACAAATTAACTTAAAAGCTATCAGAAAGTTGTAAAGAAGCACTACTTACCTTCTAAGCTTGAAGTTTAACTTGATATCAGAATCTCTTTTTGTTAAATGATACAGAGATGCACTGGAAAGTAAATAAGTCATTGCTAATCACATTATCTCTTTCAATAACCAAAGAAACTCAATCAACATGATAAAATTATAATACGTCACAGGCATTATGCATAAAAGTAAAGGAATTCGCCAACAATGACAAAATTATTTACTAAAATTAGAAAATTTAAGTTATCATCACAAATTGAGCAAATCTAACTAAAGTGAATCTAAAGTAATTAGGTTAGCCATTTCCAAAAACAAATAGCATTTTGAAAAAATATTATTACAAAAATACTCACTAAAATTAGAAAATTGACGGTATCGTCAAAAAATAAACAAATCTGAGTACCGTAAGGTTCACTCAAGGTGTCTACATAAAAAATATAGAAGCAAAACTGTTTTTTCTTTTTCACTTTTTAGTAAAAATGACAAAACAATTCATTTGAAGTTAGAGATTTGAAAATATCTTCACCAAATGAACAAATATACAACAAGTAGAAACAAAGGACATTTTCAAGAAAAAGTAAAAAGTTGATGGTGACAACAGATGATAGACAATCAGTAATCCGTCTAAGTCGATGACAGAGCAAAAAATAACAACATGCACCTACAGCTAAAAATATACTGCCATCATAAAGTATATGTACTATATTTTGATTGATACAAGTCCAGCCATCTCCAAAAACTGGTTGCAAAACAGGTCAGGCAAATTTGATTAAATCAAAAATAACTGACGAGTATACATACATGTATGTATGACATCATTATTTTATCCCTGTACCAAGTTTGAAATAGAGGGGGCAATGTATATCTGAGAGTTGGCTCCAGATGGCAAGACAGAACCCAAATTGAAAGCCTTGTTTTTGGAGTTTGTCTAAATGATGAATAACAAACAACCATCTGGAGAATTCCCTAATTGTTATCTTATCTCAGTATTCTGTATTCAATACATGTATTTACCTGCCAGAAATCTGCACACGGGAATTATATGGGTATCTGCTCATTGCCGCTACAATCAGCTATCAAGAAAGAAAGAAACAAGTCAATATGAAAACTGTAAAAAAAAAAACATGGCAGTAAGAAATCTGATTAAACATGTAATAATTATGTACTTACTGTAACAGCTAAAGATGGCCTTTGTAAATGTGTTCCTCTGACGATATCAAACAAGTTATCCAATGATTTTGAAATAAATGGACATCTACTCATGTACACTTTTAATGAAATCAATATCTGGTTTTCATTGGCTCCTCCAGATACCTAAAAATATAAGAAAAAAAGTCATGTCATGACAGAGTTCCAGTTGTTAATAGTAACAAAACTGAAATGAACCAGGCATTTTGAATCAAAACATCAATGATCATGGCAGTAACATAACTGCAGTTATGCATTGTAAAAAATGAATATTATAATGTTGCTGGAATCACTGTTATAGTATTTCAATTTAATGTAATTTAAAGATGGAATATTAATTAAATGAGAAAGATTTTGTTTGAAGAGCAAAGCATGGCGAACTTTTCTTGTATGTATCTAGTATATACAACAGAGCAACATAGCTACATTATTCCATTTATAGTAATGCAGAAACATTCCTTAATTTAGGAGATACATGTAAACATTAGGAATGGTGGGGAGTAACATTTTGAAAAATCAAAATTTGCACTAAGAAAATTATAAACAAAAAATTGTACAGTAAAAGTTACAGAAAATAAACCACATTTATAAACAAACCCACACATATTCAATAGAAAAAGGCAAAGCAGCATGTTATTCTTAAATGAATTTACCTTCACAGCTGGCAAATTAGGTTCCTCACAGACATCAGTGTCCAATAATCCCAAAAATTCCAATTTTCTATTGAAGTCTTTAAATGCATTAATATTACACTTTGTTCCTTTACAATCTCTGAGAATAAGGGTAATAATATAATGTATAAATCAGCAGATAACAATTTATTATAATTATTAACCTTTTCATCATTTGAGCCAGGTTCGGCTCCACTAAACCCTCGGGGTTGAACTCCGATAGGGTTTAGTCCTGACATGGCTTCGATCGTGTAAACGCATCGGGTCCAACTATCGGAGCCCAAATCACGCCCTCAATCGTCTTCTCGAGTAACCTCTCATTTCAATTATGGCGGAGGCAATATCTTTCGTAATTTCACACAATTTCCGGCTTGACAAAGAGGTATGCGTTCTAATGTATAGTAACGAATTATTGCGATAGATTGATAGCTCAATGGGAAACAAAAAATGGCATACGAAATTATGCGACAAAAACTTGAAAGAACAACTGAACAGAAACTTTTTAAAGACACTAAAGATGAAAATCGTAGAAGCGATCGTTGTACGGTGATGTGTTCCTGGTAGGTTTAGATTCTTCCATAGTCCCTCTATGATAGATAGAGAGAATCTGTGATTCTTCCTAGTAGTTTAGTTATCACTACAGTTGAATAGTTATAAAATGGTAATTTTGCATGACAGTAACTTGAGCGAATAGGCTATATTAAACGCATTTTAGCTGCCATGTTTCCTGTTTATTCGAGATACTAGTACCTAAATCATAATACCAGTCATTGTCTTTTCTACCTCCATGCTCAGGCTCGCGACTGTTTCTTTTTTGTTTCGCGCCATGTAAAGAAAAAACACAAGCACGACACTAAAATCGTTTTCAGTCACTAATTATTCGAGGGCACTGTTACTTTCGGCTCTGATCGAACTGAATCAAACTCTGGCAGATCTCGGCTCTCGTTCGGCTCCCGAATGTATGAACGCATTGGAAATAATCTCCTGTTAATTCGTGGGAGGAGCAGTAGTTTGGCTTCGATAGAATGCTGCCGTGTAAACATAGTATAAGATTAAGTCAGTTATATTTTTAGTGACAATTGCTATTATTGTACATTTCATTTCAATCAAGGCAAAAAATTTATGCTTCAATTTGTCAAATGCAACTAATAATATCGTTAAACAGTTGCAACAAGAACAAGCCATGCATGGCACAGTCCCCGTTAGTTATCAAATTTAAGATATAAAGTTTTGTTTATAGTAATATAGCTGGAATATAAACATGTCAGGAATATGATGATTGTTTAACATTTAAATGATTGACATTTGTATCTGATCGTCAAATGAGTATTGAGAGATATTGCTCTAGAACAGCATTAATTAAAACAAAATTATGAATTATGTATAATGAATATATGAAATTTGAACATAGTCAGTCAAAGCATGTCAGAGATATGGCTCTAGAAGCCCATTCATTAAAACAAAATGGCCACTAGTCAGCCATTCAGAATCCGATCTAAAAAATAAAACAATTTTGTTAGCACAAAAATAGCCACCATGAGGCCACTTTGAAAAGGATCGTCAAACCAATATATCTGTATATCTGTGACATGATGTATAATGAATATTAAAAATTTGAACATAATCAGTCAAAACAAGCCAGACATATGGGTCTGGAAACCCATTCATTAAAACAAAATGGCCACCGGACAGCCATTTTGAGTCTGATCTGAAAAATAAAATGACGTGCATCAGGAACCCGTAATGTCTAATGTATGTACCAAGTTTGAACGAAATCCATCCATAAATGCCAGAAATGCTTGATATTTGATGATTTTTTAGCACAAAAATGGCCGCCATTCGGCCATCTTGAATCAGATCGTAAAACAAAATGATGTTTGTCAAGGTCCTATAATGTCCAACGTATATACAAGGTTTGAACAAAATCCATCTATAAACAGCCGGGAAATGCTTGATTTTGATGATTTTTAGCACAAAAATGGCCGCCATTCGGCCATCTTGAATCAGATCATGAAACAAAATGACGTGCATATGTATGATATCATGTATGATGTATGTGTGAGGTTTGATTGTGATTGGTCAGGCATTGCTAAGATACAGGTCCGGACGCACGCACAGACGCACGCTTGCACTGACACACGAAGGTCAAAACATAAGTCCCCGTTTTCGGACTTCTTCCGAACGGGGACTAAAAACTCATTCTTACCCAACTTCCATGGCCTTTTCTGGGAATAGGAGATCCGTTCCAGAGACATCAAGTGAAACTAATGTTTGTAACTTTTGTAGTAACATTGGTACTACATTCGGAAATGTCTTCACATGATAACTACTGTCTTGAGAAATATCCAAATGCCTAAAATAAACAGAAAATAAGGTCTTATAACAATATTCAGCACATGGACAAAAATGTCAGTACCTGTACCTGCCATAGTAGAACATGGAAAGGTAGAGAGAGAGACAGTGACATTTCAATGTTCAGAAATGTCGTCTGGCACAAAAATATTTTTACATACAGTATTCTTCAAGTGTAACTTAACATTGAGCTAATTTTAACCTTTTCACCACCAGTTCCCTCTTTTCATCACAAATTCACAAAATAGTCCTGTTTATAGTCTGCACTTTCCTTCAGAAGATTGGGACAAAAATAGCCATTTTTTTTTGAATGTGAAAACTGAAAATTTTAGGATTCATTTCCAGAAATATTGAAAATATTAGAAAAAAAAAAAGGACAGAAAAATTTGGGTGATAAAGTCTGGTGGTGAAAAAGTTAAGGAAAATCAATACTTTTGTGACGTGCAAATCTCGGATAATTTGAATATAGGCTTTTAAAAGGGTCAGCATAATACCAATGTGGAGAGAAACTTTATATCTCAAAAATGTTTTCTTTTTTGGGGATTTTATTTTTGTAATAAATGTACCATGTCCATGTGTATATAAACTTCATGAATCTCTGTGTAAAACGAGTAAAAATCTCAATAATTTCAGGTAATGTTCAAATGTACTTCAATATATGGTCCAACTCTTCGAAGTGAACATGTAGGTGTTTTCATGTTCACATGCATTAGTGTGGCACAATGAAAACTTGAATAGCACTTTGAAAAGGCTGGTGACCCAATATTTTTATTAATTGAAAATATTGCTCTCACACCATTACCTTAAATTTCACAATTTTGTTTTATATACCAGTATATATCAAAGGGTTATGTTTTATTTTATTCCTCATTGAGCTATGTATTAAATACACTGTACATTTGTACGTAATATAAACATATAATTTTTTTAAAAAAACGGCTGATGACCCCTGTTTTTTTCAAAACATCTAATAATGGTATAATAGAATAATCACTCAGTTTACCAAAAATTAAAAAATTTGCAATGTTTTTGTTAAACTGTAGTGACCAATCATAAATGCAAATTGTGCAGAGTAATTTGTCGAAATATGTTATATCAGCTACATGTGTGAATATTATATGTACAGGTCAATAGTTGAAATTATTTATGATAATAATCCTTGTCTTAAATTTTGTTATGAAAAGGCAAAGCCAGCATGGAAGTTAAGATACCCCAGGACTGAACTGTAGTACTTGTCCAAGTTTTCATTACACTACTCGTACAATTAGAATTTTTTTGAGAGATACGAATAATTCAAGATATGTAACTTCTTCATTTAGCAAGAATCCATGTAACCTTCAATATCTGATGAAAACATGTGTCTTAAACTCAAAAAGAACAATGTTTCAATACGATGCAATTGACCTATACATTGCTGCCAACAGTTCATCATCATCCCATTTTGCTTTTAATCCAAGATATACTGGTATCATTTATATTACAGTAAATTTTAAATTAATAATACTGGTGACATCCCTTGAAAATTTGACAATTGTTACATTGATGAATTGAATTATATGTACTACCAAGTTAGGGTTGGGATATTTAGAAATATGGAGTCTGTATATGACTTTAAAACAAACACAGTTTGCTAATTTTCTGAGACTAGCATAAAGATTAAGATATACCATACATGTATTATCAACATACCAAACTATCAACATAAATTACAGTGAAAGGCTGGAAATGTTATAAACGTTTTATAAATATGATTTTTCATAAATTAAAATGACTGGTATAATTCAAATCACCAATCAAGAAACAATATGGCAGCATCATTGTGAGTTCTAATTAATATTAATAAGTTAATTTCACATCATCCAACCTGCATGTCCTTCATTTTAATAAGTGGGCGGTCTCACTTGAATGCTTGTGCTTGTGATGCGTGACCATGGGCATAGTAGAGGTCTTGAGTCAATCATTATTAAATATTTTAAATTTAAATGATCTGTATTTACAAAGTTTGTTTATAAAGTAAAGTACAGCTGCAATGTATAAAATTGGTATTCCTGACTGAGCAAAGTGAAAATTCCTGAACCCATTATCAAAACTAAAGCTTAATTTTTGGAATAGGAATCATATTTAATAACGCTACCAGTCTGACAGATTACCATCTAAGATACCAGTTCTGGTATGAATTGACTAACCTCAGGTTAAAAGACAAGTGGAAATTTCGAGCCCTGAATGGGCCATATTCAGGGCCATATCACGCGAAGTAACACTTACCTCAAAGCTTTGAACTGACACAGGTAATGAAAGCTCTGTAATGTTAATTTACAATCAAATAAAACAAGGGATCTCAGTTGATTCAGGACTGAGTCTAAAAATGTCAAGTCACCATCACTGACAACTTCAGATAAATCTATAGAAGTAAGGTTGAGAAGAGGCTTGATGAGTTGATGCAACTGATGTTGCTTCAATGACGTCTGTCCAATGTCTAAAACACGAAGATTAGTAAATTGAAACTGATATGCAGTGGCGCTGTTCATTAAATTATCACACCCATGAAGGTTCAATGATTGAAGAGTGGGTTTTAGATGCTGTAAATGTGATAAACATGACGGCTCAAAATGTGTCTCAGAAATGTCTAACTCAACTAAATCCTGTTGACAGACAGCCTTCAATCCTTCTTCTGATACACTCTGGCATCCTTGTAAGCATACTCTCTGCAGTCTACTTGCATTGGTGTCACAAAACAAGCTCAAAAACAGATTTCCAGACTTGTAATTCTTATAATAAGCATTAACTAGTTTTTCAGCTATCTCCAGAGGGATATAGACGCCTGGGCGAATCTGAGAAGGTAATCCTAAACTGTTAATATTACAAAATGATTGTGGATTTTTCAAACAGTGATTGCATGTGATGTCCAGTAAAGAATCTGGTGAGTAGGTATCAACTTCATCTGGTTCAATTCCTGCCATAACTGTTTCTATCATTCATATCTGTAAACAGAAGTAGAAATAATTTTCAGTATTAGGTCTCGCACCGGAATAATTTAAAAAGTACTTGTAATGAAAAGCACAATTTTTTGGTAGGCTTATACCATATTACCCCGGGCACGCGCCCAGGGGCCTGAACATACAAAATCGAGAAAAATTGGGGGTGGGCGCTTACCCGAGGACCACCCCAAAAAAGATTTTAAAAAGTTGTTTTTGTGATCGTATGATAAGGTCAAATAAAGGAATGCTTTCGTACACTTTGTATACGAACTTATTTCTTGATTTATGTGAGGTTTCAATAAACGTGAGCACTCAGCCAAGAACTGTGGGAACACTAAGACACGGGGTCGAATTTCAAGAATAAAACTTGTTTTATGTCAGCGAATGAAGTTGTATTACTCACTGAAATTGACTACAAAGTATGGTAAGTATTGTAATCAATGCACGGTTACTTTTTTAGTACCGGTAACCGTGATCAGTGCAAGTCGAAACGACCGGGAAAAACTACCGCTTGTAATCCAAGAAGGTGATGACCTCATTAGCATAATTTTGTTCACGCACGTATTGATACATCGCATCGTAATTACTGAAGAATAGCAGACAGGGTTA